TTAAGTCTTGGTAAGTCCTTAACAAACCCTTCATGTGTCTACAAATTAAGAACTGTTAAGCTCATTTGTTGCCCTCTTGTGTTAAATGAAATGACAAAAATGACACTTATTGCAACTGTCATTTTTTCTGAAGCCAAAGGCCCTACTCTGAGGTACATTTATTGTCTCTACTTTTATCTTCTCAGGTAAGGGAGCCCTTTGCTGGTGAGGAGGCTTGTTGGCTTCAAGTATAGTTGAGTCTCCCAGTTAGAGATTTGGAAGGAAGCTGCCTAAGGAACATGTGTCACATCCTTGAACTTGTCCCATGGAAGAGGGATTATAAGCAGGCAGGTGTTTTGTTTTGTTTGATATTTAGAAATTTGTTTCATTTTGAATGCACAACAGAATTGTTGGAGTTTTCCAAGGACAGATGGGTTCCAAAGATTCCCTTATCCTTGGAAATGTTTAGGCAGAAGCTGAACAATGACTTGGAAGGGATAATTGTTTCAGATCAGTGTTTCCCCAAATGGAGTAAATCCAATGGTATTTATTTTGGTGGTGCAGAACCCCCTCATTAATCTTAAATCACACAGTGAAAGCCATCCCTCTCAATTCCCTTTCAATCCTTTGGATTCCAGGTAAAACACAGCCTTGTTTGGGTGCTCATGGGTACTTAATACCTCATCCACACCTGCAACTACCTTCAGGTCTCAGGCAATAGTATCATGTAGACTCCATTCTGCTGCCATTTGTTATTTCCATTACAAGACCAGGGACAAGAGACATCCATTTCCCATAACAACCTGAGGCATTAGAAGAAACATATGTTGATGTAAAGAACATTTTCAGTAAATGATGCCATGACTCAAAAAATCAGATTTGGGATCATGTTCTTAAAATCCATCAAATACTCTTTCTTGCTGGGAGTACAGGGGATCCTCCCTTAGAGCTGAAACTGGAATTTACATGTATTGTATAATTCAAGCGGTGCAGGGAAGCTTCCCCTTCCCCACCCAACATACATCTTCTTGGGGACGATACCTTTGTATTCATGTACCCTCTGTGCCTCGCTCGGGGGCTGACATGAACGAGTGAGAGTTCACAGATAAACTACATGCGTTTTGTAGCCCTGCCTCAGTGGGCCTTACCCCAGACATTGCTGTTCCCTTTTACTGCTGCTGTGGACAACCCCCCACCAACCTCTCTTACAATTTGCCCAATGCCACAGTGATTGCTTGTCAAAAGTGAAGACCCCCCTTCCAGAAAACTGGAGACACAAAAGATTTCCTTTTCAGTGAGTGATTGGGAGGAATGTTCACTTAGAATGAAAAAAGAAGAAAGCATTAGCTTTGTGAGAAGATTCAGGAGTCAACAGGAGGTGATAATTACGTCTGCACAGCACAACCTGAAATGGAATTTAACTATTATCTAGTGAATTTAATCAGATGAAGCCAGCCAAACCTACTCATATTTCTGGCATGAAATGTCTCATTTGGCTGTCTATCCTGACCCAATCAAAAGAAATTGGTGCCAAACTCCTATTTATTGTGGAGGATTGGCACAGACATACTCTTCTTGTTTAACAAAAAAAGTTACAAATCTAGCCATTAGGCTTTCTCCCAGGTCTCCCTGGCAGCTTCTGGAATGCTAATTCACACCAACTACGTTGAGAAGGATTAGTCTTTCAAATTCAGGAAAAAGAACACGGCTTGCTGAGGCTTTAGAGCCACAACTCAAACATGATGTTTCAAGTACAAACACCTACATCAGGTTTCTCAGAGTTTAAATGTGACTTTAGTGCAGTTAAATGTACAGGACCACATGCCTAATCCAAGAAATGTAATAAGGGTTTCATGCATTTTAATGTCTGTCTGCACAGACCCTGGGGCTTTGGAACCTCAGAGCACTGCGCCTGTCCAGCGCTGTCCCACTGGGAAACACATTCTATGAAAGTGTGACCTCTGAGTTCTTATTCTGGTGTTCCTGTTTGGGTGCCAGAAAGACCAGCTTGGCTTGACACAGCACAGAGAAACCCAGAGAGTGGAGGGGAGAGGCTTTCCAATGGCTATTTGTTTTGAGAGCAAGAAATGTAGTGTCTAGTAGCTGTTCCATGTTGAGTTAAGCTTTGACATGGACCTGTCAACAGCAGACAAGGTGACAAACGAAACCCTGCGCAAGCCCGATGGAGGCACGAGTTTCTCAGTGCGTTTCCCGCCTCGACACTCCAACCGGAGTCCCGACACTGGTAGCTGAGGCGGCACTAGGTTGGCAGACGTGCTCTGTTTGGCTTGCAGTGTTGCGTTCTGTTCATTGTATCAGCACATGAACATCTAGAGGCTCTTAAAAAGTTCTGGGTTTCTGGATTCTCTTGAAAAACTAGAAGAGTTGGCCCTTGTCGACACATGGAAACATTTGGCTGGAGCCGATAATTTTCAGGTTACGAGAGTCTCCTTGCCTCCCTTTGTCTACCCAGTTTCTGCAAGCTGGGTCACCTTCCACTTATCATCACACTTGTCCATGTCACTTCTCCTGCTGAAGAGAAATATTTCCCTGTATCCATGACTCTAGCAAAGGAGAAAAACAAATAATGGCCTGAAATGGCAGTTTCATATATAGAGGTCATCTGCTTGGCTACTGGAGGCATCTGAGTTTGCTTTTCTGTTCTAAAACAGTGGGCCCTGACTTGGACCCTCCCTGGGCAACACGTTTGCTTAGTGACATCTCCCAACACACACAGGGATCCTCCAGGGGTCCGTGTGCTTTGCAATCGTACCCCTCCTGCTCATTCTCACTGGCTCATCCCCTACTTCAGTTTAGAATCATTGTACTTAAAACTTTGAAGGGAATTCCTACTGAATCAATCATGCATCCCAATTAATCATGAGTATCTAAATTGCTGTGTAGCTTGGAAATTACTCCTTTGAGACCAACACCTTAAAAAGACCTTTGACAAACTAAGTAATTACGCCCCTTGTCTTAACACAGCCCTGGAAAAGAGCAGACGCTCCTTAATGCGCCCAAGTGACAGCATCCCCAACTTGGGGTTAGGTTACATTTTAAAAGTTCATTTCACAGTGGTTGTTTGCATCTTATAATTCCTTTTTCTTTAACAATATGCTAAATGTCGATGACTTTTCTGAGGTTTGCCCACAAATTTTCTTTTAACCATGTGAAAAGGATTGCGTCATAGTCCTTTTTCCTGCAAAATTACTCAGTGCACTCTCTTATTCCTTCAATAAACTTGATGTATTAGGTATTAGAAGACACCAGGAAATCCCACTTCAAGGTAACCATCAACTAGGACTTGCTACTGAGGGGGGAGTATTAATAATATTTTCTCAAATGATACCTAATGAGGACTTTCCCCTTATAAAGGGTAACATGGGGTTTTTAGCACAATTACCAGAAAGTGGAAACCTCTAAACACTGACCCGCCCTTGAAGAACTACGATAAAGAAGCCCAGGACCCCGCAGTCTGTGTCCAGGAGACCTTCAGGGACTCAATTCAGCCACCAACCAGTGGGGTCAGTGGGGGCCTGTGGGGGTGAAGAGGAAATTCCTACTGCACAAAAAATGGCAGTGTGAGTTCTCTCCTCTAAGTGCCTTGTGCGAAGAGCTAGTTTCCCAGAAAAATGGCAGCGTGTGGATAATAAAATGAACTTGTACCCTCATGTCAGCATTAATCTAGCCTCTGTCCTAAGAACGGAGGCTGCAAAGGTCACCCCTGGTCAGCAATGGGCCAGGCCAGCTTCAAACACCAGTGCCCCCACCCTCCTGTCGGCGCGACTGGCTCACAGGCAATTCTTCCCCAGCGGGAGCTTCCTGTACACGCAACCGCTTGTTCAAAGACCTGGGCAAGTGGAAGCCCGCAGCGATCGGCCAGGCACTGAGGAAACATCTGACATAGTTTCTGTCCAAGTAATGGCCAGTCCCCTATGGCATGAAGTAGACTTAGAATTTTGAGGGGTACCATGAAGTTCTTACTATGCACAGCTTTCGAAACAAGAGTATATGTATCCTTGGGAACTGCCTACGAGGGGAAAAGGTGTGCAGAGCCTGCTCACAGAGGCAGAGCGACCTGCCTAAGGGGGCACAGTGCCCCGAGGGTGGAAACGAGAACAGGGTCAGTAGTACCTGAGATCTGGGCCCTGGCTGCAGACCCAGGAACCCTCCTGCTGGGCAGCGCCTACAGGCTTTGCTCCTCTAAGTCAGAGGTGGGCTGTGGGGACCACGAAGAGTGGGCGGAAGGGAACATACAGTAACATTTTCCTGCAGCTTCTTGGCTCCGTTTGCATTCACCAATCACACACACAAATGACTCTAACCATTTCCCACGCGGGTGTAAATTGTTATCTTGCTGTCATAGAAAACAGAAGCCTATCCTGCCAAGTTTGCACTCGTTGAAAATCCAAGTGTCAACTGACAAAATATCAGGATGGGAAAATCTCCCACCCCCTCCCCCTTCTCCCACAAGCGTGAAAGGTAACGGGGGTGGGGGGACAACCGGAGAAGGAAATGAAATCATGCGGGTTCACCAGGAAAAGGCAGTGTTGGTGGCAGCAGAGTTGGCGAGTGTGTTGTGGGCATTACCTCTTGATGAGGCTTCCAAGAAGGCTCCCGCTCAAGTCCTGGTGGCTCTGAGAACAAGCATTCTTGCATCAATAGCTAATAGGCTGTCCAACCAGATGTTATCTGGGTGGGATAAGAGGGTGAGAAAACAGACCTGTTGTACGCCGTTGTCAACTAGATCGCTGTGGTCAGAGAAGGCTGGTTGTGTAGTGTTTAGCAGGGCACCTCTTTCGTAGGGAGGCAGACCAGATTACGTATTTGTTTAAATCTGTTTCCTCTTGTGATTGGTAAAATACAAGTTATTTTCATTCATGCATTACTAAAGCAGCCTTTCCATCATTTTGAAGGGACTTTTTTTTTTTTTTTCTAGAACAGAGCATGCATCCAGCAGAAACCTAAAGCCCTTGTTTTTCTAAGCATCTTTGAGCACTTTTAACAGAACCACCTGGTACCTGTGACAAGGCTGGAGACGATGAGAGGCAGCACCAGCATCTGCAGCATCCGCATCAGAAGCTCCCCAGGGAAGGAGAAGTACTTGACCTCCCGGTAGCTCATTTTGTATGGTCGGAGCGCAAATCCAAGGATCGTGCCTAAGGGGAGAGAAGTAGAAAAGCTGAGTCTTTTCTGAAACGGAAGTAACAGTCCTAGAAAAATGAGTACAACATTTGCCCGGTGCTTATGCCTGTCTGACAAGAGTCAATTTATTTCAGCAACAGATACTTGTGCTGTTTGGAGGGTAAGGGGTGTAACTGTCTTTTCAGTCAGTCTGGAAGGGTCTGGCTGAGTCCAGGGCTTCAAGTAGAACTTACAGGGGAAAAAAAGCTCTTCCTGATTTTAGCAAATGAACAAGTTCTTTGTCCAACTTAAATGCAGTGGAATCAATTTTGACATGGCTCAGTACAGAGTTACAAAGATTGGGGCATAACTGTATATAATGATGTATCCTTGAATGAGGCAATATAAAACAATAAAAGCCTTATAATAATGAAGTTCCTTCACACCAACAGATGTTAAACAGCTAGCATAACCACTTATAAAGGGCAGTATCATTCTGTTTTTTCCAATTAAAAAAAAAAAAAACAACTCTTCTTGCTCACATTGCTAATCCATCTTCATCACTTCCCTGTCTGCACACAACACTTGCTGTCTACATGGTCTTGATATTGCCTTGGCAACTGTATTGTACAGGCTTGTTAGTTCCTGGCAAGAGAAGACTGCAAAATGAGGAGACTTTTTCCCAAAAATTTTCTTTAAAAACTTCAGGGAAATTAGGGGAAAGAGAAAGGAATTTTCTCCTTAATAACCCTTCTGCGCCTGGACATTTAAAAAATATTTTTAAAAATAACTTTATATGTAAATAACATTATGTATACTATCTTTTGAAATGTTTAAAAATTAACAAAGGTATTGAATAAATTTACTCCTTCTCCTCTTTCTCTAGAAAATTTAGTTATTCCATTATTGTAAATATTTCAATTTTTTTCTTTTTTTTGCCCAATGATTACTAAAATGTGTATTACAGAGAAGTACGGAGTTGTCTAGAAGCTGGCAGTTGGGGGATGGGGAGAGAATACTGGGTAGACACAAGCTCTTCCAAAGAATGCAAGGAGTCCTTTAAGGAAATTGAACAATCTTAACTTCTTATAAAAATGGGCTTCCTTTCTTGTGAAATGGGACACAAGTTCATTTCAACTGTCACTGCAACTCCAGTGTCAACTCTTGGGTCACAGCAACCATGAAGTATCTATATTTTAACTATATACTGTGATATTCCAATTAAGAGTCTGAATCTTCGTGACTAGAAAATCTAGCTGACCCAGGGCCTTCTGGGACCTTCAGGAAAATATTGCTCCCCCCACCCCCGGTGTAATAGTACTATACTCAAGAGAGAAAAGTTGATTGGGAAAAATGTCGGCAAAAGTCTGCCCATATTGGCTCTGCCACTTAAATAGCAAAAAACTAATGTTTCACAGAGCTCTTAGTGCATGCCAGGCACTGTTGGCGGTGCTTTCCTTGTGTTAGAAAATTTAATCCTCACAAAAAGCCCTGGACGTAGGTGCTGTTTAATCACCAATTTACTGGTGGAGAAATCTCATCACAGTGAACTTAAAACGTGCCCAGTTCCAATAGCTACTCAATATCAAAGTCAAATAGGTACTCAAGTGGCAGAGCTGAGATTTAAACCCGGGCAGTTTGGACTCAGATCTCACATTCTGGACTACCTCACATACTTCCTGCCTCTCGAAGCTGAGGAAAGACAACTATTGTTAGTGCCTCTGTGGGTTTCTTTCCAGAATGTTTCCATGCAGACTTAAATGTATGGAAATCACGTGGAATACACTTTTCCATATATGGTCACGATCAGCTTCTCTTTTAGGCCTCATATCAGACTCAATGACTTTATTCAAATTTACTTAATACTTCCTTTGTCGTTGAACACTTAGGCTGCTAAGCATTCTTCACCTTTGTAAGGAACACCATGATAAATATATGTAGGCTGTATTATATCTAGGAATATATACATTTTTAGTGTAGTTTAGAGAAAGGGAACCAGTGCATTTACGAATATGACTGCCCCGATCCCCGTTACCGGATTGCTTTCTCAGCGGGATGGCCCAGCAGTTTACGGCTCCATTAGTGAATGACAAGACCTTATTTCCTATACCTCAGGAGCTGAGAGTATTATCATTAAAAATTTGTTCAAACAAGCAAAATTTATAAATATGATGAGTAAATAGTATGCATGTTTGTTTTCCTTTGAATTTACTATCTAATAATGTTGACCATTTCTCCTAATCGCACTTTCCCCAAGTGTTTCCTAAATCCAAATAGTTTGTTTATATATGTGTGTGTATGTATTTGGTATAGATTCTTTACATGATCAAGATAATTACCCTTTGCCTAAGTATAAAATATTTGCTAAAATTATTTTTTAAATTTGCTTGCCATATACTATTACTTTAAAATATACACGTGTTTTTCATTTTTATTAAATAATGTCCGTGTACCTTTTTTATTAGATAGATGATTTCTTCAAGAGCTATAAATACCCTGACTGGGTAGCAAAAGGTTGCAGGTTCAATTCTTGGTCAGGGCACACACCTGGGTTGGCAGTTTGATCCCCAGGGGGAAAAAGCAGAGTTATAAATTTTAATTTGTCTCCCACTCCCAAGTTAAATAAATCTCTAACTAATTTTTCCTTCTTTGTGCTTTGTTTTAACATATTGAACTTTTAATCTTCCAGAACTTGGTTTGGGGTAGGGCACCGCATTCTGAGTTACAGTGAGCATTATTCAGCACTGCGCCTTAGGAATTAGGGCTCTGGTCCTACCAGGATCTTCCCTGCTTGTTCATATAAATGCCAAGTCACTGTGAGGTAGGTGCTCCACCTTATAGTAAGTAAATAAATCAATACAGATTTATACATTTTACCTTATTTCTAATCAAATGTAATTTCACTGGCATTGATTATGTTTTCTGATCTTTATTTAAATGCATTTAAACTCCTATCATTCAATTATAACAAAAAGTATGCACAGTAAATACAAGAAACTCCTTTTGGTCATTTGGAATGTGAACATATCAAACTATTAGGAATTTTCAATATCCTCCAAGTAACTGCTTAAGATCAGGTTTGGTTTTACAAATTCATCTCTACATTGGCTGTTACTAGAAATGTATTTATTCAAATACAACATTTCCAGGGGTGGGTAGGATCTAGGCTAGTTCAGTAAATCTATTTAAGTTACAATTTAGAAAAAATTGATAGAATAACTGCTCTACTAATGATATAGATTCTAGGAGCAAGAGATAAGTCAGTGTAGATGAAGGAAGGGATTCTCCTTTGTAAATACTAGGGGCACTCGATCCCATCCCCCAAGTCTAACCTTTGCCAGCCCTGACTCCCGCCTCTACATCCACACCAGCTGTGTGTATCCAGCCTCTTTCTCTCCTTGGGTGCTCCGTGTACCTTCTCTCCTCTTCCCTCAGCAAACTCCACGTTTTCATCTAGGTCTTAGAGGGAAAGCGAGTCAGCTCAGTGAACAGTTGTGGGCAACGTGTGAATGATCATGCCTCTTAAATATCTAACAGAGCAACAGCAAGACAGCCAGGGAGCCAAAGTCTCGCGAGGCGGTGACAGTTTTTCTTCTGTCTCCTTCCAGTCAACAAGCTGGTCTCGCTTAGAAGTACCGTCCTGACACCAATGACTCTAGAATGTCTTAATTTCTTTCTGTTCTCCAGCGCAGAACCCACATTTTCTGAAAGCTCCTATTTATAATAGAAACAGCAAAGGAGGCATGGTTTATTTATAAGGGATAGTTTTAGGTCAAATGCTTTGAAGACAGGAGCTGTTTAGAGAGCAATAAACAATGTTATTAATACTTGAAATCAGTGTGTCCTTGACTATGCTTTTGGCCTGTTTGCTCTTTCTGGGTTTACCAAGTGATCCACGTCTGCTCTTGGAGGAGAGGTCATGTTGAGGGAGGGAAACTTTATTGAGCCCTTACTCTGGGTCAATGGTGGCCTGCTCCTCATCGCCACTTTATGAGGTAGATATTGTCGTGTCTACTGGAAAGATGAATACACTGACGCTCAGAAATTAGTTAACTTGCTCAAGGGTATGGAGCTAGTAAGAGGGGATTCTAAACAAAGCCTTCTCCTCCACTTTAATGCCTTTCAAATACAAATACATCCTTGTCTTAGGGCCTGGGTCCAAGAACAATTCTCAAATGAGCCTGGCTCCTGGGTCTTCAGCATCTCCAACCTTTAAACTGTGGAAGCATTTGAGTCATAACCTCATCTCTGCTAAAGGCATCCTGGAAGCACCCAGCCCATCCTAGGATCCGTCACAGCTCCTGCACGTGAGGACTTCAAAATATGGTTATCCGACCCAGGTCACTATTTAAAAGGGTTACACTAAATCCGTTTTAATGGAATCATTTAACTTTTATAAAATGTGTTAACTAAAATAGGTTGCCTTTTCCCTCCACGGCCCACGCTTTAATTCTTGGAAACCGTTGGCAGCAAAAGTGGAAAAGATATTACATGAAAATGTGCTTCCCATCCGTAATGACCACAGCCAACCGTCCTCAGCACGTGCAAGAGGCCAGGCGCTCGCAAGTGCGCTGCCTCCCAGAGGCCAGGGAGGCCAGGACTCTCCGAGGAAGAACCAGAGTCATTGCGAGGCCAGGTGAACTGCCCAAACCACTCAGGGAGGGACCGGTCTGCGGCCCCGGGGCCAAGGGGCCGCCCGGCGCAGCCCGAGACAGTCTTCACCGCGGAGCGGTCCATGCCAGGCCCTCACTCGCGCTCACCACGCTGCACTCACGGCCTCTCCCCGTCATGGTGCTAATTTCACCGGCCTCAGTGATTATGCAATAAAATGCCTGGCTTTTTGTTCTATTTTGAATGAAGTTAACTCAATGTAGAGCTTAAACTGGGAAAAGATTTTGTTGATTTTATTTAATGAAGTCAACACCTAGCATTTTTCAATTCATCTGTTACACGAATACACAAAAGTCATTTTTCTGCAGCGCTCTGCTCCGACAGGCAGCCTTAGGCCTGCGATGAGGTCAGCCCCCTATCAGCG